GTATAAGAACGGGAAGTGGAGGATACCTGAGACGATTCTAAACCACAATCTCAGCTATTCTCCCATTTCCAGTTTTTACTCTAATTCTGGGACACGCTTTGTATATACAATTAATACCAATGTATATTTATTTATACAGGGTGTCCCGAAAATGTTGGAGGTCATTGAAATGGGTGGTTCAGAAGGTGATCTCAAACAACTTTTTCCTTAACGAAAATGTTGTCCGATGCTTCGTTATGGAGATATTAACGGAAAACACTGACCAATCAGAGCGCGCGAATACCGTTGGAGCGGCCGCGGTAGCGTATGAGCGCGGCCGCCTAGCGCGTAGCCACGCCTACTGCGGGCGCTTCGGTGGCATCCTCGCGGTCTAATTGGTCCGGAGTTTTTCGTTAATATCTCCTTAACGAAGCCTCGTACAACATTTTCGCTAAGAAAAAAGTTGTTTCAAATCACCTCCCGAACCACCCCTTTCAAGGTGTTACAATGTTTTTGGGACACCCTGTATATACACAGTGGAGGTGATTTGAAACAACTTTTTCCTTAACGAAAATGTTGTCCGAGGCTTCGTTATGGAGATATTAACGGAAAACACTGACCAATCAGACCGCGAGTATGCCGATGGAGCGCCCGCTGATTGGTCAGTGTTTTCCGTTAATATCTCCTATACGAAGCCTCGAACAACATTTTCGCTAAGGAAAAAGTTGTCTCAAATCACCTCCTGAACCACCCCTCTCAATGACCTTCAACATTTTTTGGACACCCTGTATACATAAAAGAATGTATATATACAAAAAGCAAACGCAAAATGTACACATAAAATACGTACACGTATGAAATGTAATGACATCTACATAGGCATACTTTTATTTATTTATCAGTAAATCAATTACTAATAAATTTTTTATGTGTCCCCATTTTGTGTTTGTTATTCGCAAGTATCGAAATACCTTCGTTCAAACACAATCAAGAAGTATTCTAGCGATTAAATTATCAATTTGAGTTATTATCAATTTATTAAATTGAAATCGACTCAAATGGAGCTCGATCACATCGCTGGTCACAGGTACGGATGTACACGCAAGCACTCGCTTACACGTGTCCTTCTCTGTTCGCCCAGCTTGCCCAACAGACGGCGAGTCTTCTCGTTTCTCCCTTCGGCCGTCTTCGTCTCCCTCTGTCTCGCCCCCCCCCCCCCCCTCCTCTCGCGCTGGCCAACGTCTTTTTCCGTCCCGATCTGCGCTGTCGCTCTTGCCAAGAGAGGAAAGCTAAAACGGGCCAGCGAGCACTGCTTCCTCTCGACGACCGAGAGAAAACGTGTCCTGGGACAGAATTCTTCCGTTGGCCGAGAGTTCGGACATCGAATTCCCTTAAAATGTGTTTTTCTTGGGAGTGCCATCATTTTCCCGCCAAAATTCAGTTCAAATTTCACACACGATAACGCCTTACCGACCGGGAATCTGTTTTCCCGCCATAATTGAGTTCAAATTTCGCTCATGGTAACGCCTTACCGACTGGGAGCCCGTTTATGCGCTTTTTGTTGTGGGAATACCTTGTTATTTTTTATGAAGATGAGAATTGTGGAATGTTACACGAATATTCTGGTGGTTAAAATAAATATTGCATGGTACGAATGTTGTGAATATAGGAAAATATTGTTAAAGTTGATTGCACGTCGTTACAGTCGGTAAGTGTTAATCATTTACCGACAGATAGCCTATTAATCTACTTTTTTAAATAAATATTAATCATGAAACCTTTCTAACAGACAAAATAAATATTCTACAATATCAAACTAGATGTTACCAGTCGGTGAAACGTTAAATTGAAATACAAGTCCCACTATTTTCCATTATCGAAATTTGAATACCCACCAATCGCGAAAAAATGAATTTTAAATTGCCAATTGTTTAATAAATAAATAATCCCAGCGCAAAGGTTGAATCCATGTAAAAATTTGGAAAATTTCGGACTGAATTTCAAGGAATCGTGTTTTGATGACCGAGTCGGTGGTTCGGTCCCATCGCTACCTGTCGCTCACTGCGCAGGCATCCGACGGAGCGAGCCAGAGTCAAGGCCGCTCAGTGCTCCGCCGTGAGAGAGCTACTAACTAGCACGGAAACCTTGCTACGTAGAATCTAGAAGCGAGCCACGTCGCAACTGGCAACTTCCAAATGATTATGCTTCGCTACGTCTTCCACGAATTTTGAAAGAACCATCTGATCGCGTTTTGGTCCTTCGAGGAATCGCTAGATTCGCCCTAGGGAATTTTAAGGACTGGTCAGCATTGCAATGGCGGGTGTCATGAATTCTGCTATTACATTCATAAATATAACTCATAATACCGTACAAATTACAACAATATAAACATATTAATATGATATACATAACATATCATTATACAAATATTATACAAATAAATATACATTGGTATTAATTTTATATACACAGGGTTTATATTGTTATAATTTGTATGTTATTATGGGTCATATTTATGAATATAGTACCAGAATTCGTGACACGCGCCATTGCAGTGCTGACCGGTCCTTAAAATTCCCTAGGGCGAATCTAGTGACTCCTTGAAGGTCCAAAACGCGATCATTATACAAATATTATACAGGGTGTCC